CGCAGGCGTTCCCAGTTCGGGAATGCCATGCACAACCATGGAGGCAGAAGGAATGAGCTCTGGCGACTCCCTCGCCATTTGTCTTTCCTTCCACGGCCTGTCCAGCTTAACACGTATGTTACAGGCCCTCCCTATAGAAAGGGCTCTGCATGGATTTACTGGTTGGATGTCCAAACCCAGTGCGCTACACAAGATGGACCATTGTTCCTGATCAAATAGGGCCCTATCTTTCAGCAGACTACTACTACAGCCTGGTACATTAAAGAGGATTACACGTGGGCTTAGGCTCGGTCCTCGCACATTTGTGATCCCCTTTAAGACTGTTTTGTTTCGTCTGGTGCTACTGGGTATTTTTGTGTGTCTCAGTGCCATGGCCAGTATTACTTGCAGACGATAGGGGTCTTTTTCCAGCGACGGAAACCCGTGGTGCTCCAGCCCCTTTGTCTGGAGCGGTTATGTCAAGAGTTACAAGTTTAACATGTGAGGATTTTGGTATCACCGGTTTACGTGCGTTTGTGCTATTTTCCGAATTGGTGGGAGTCGAACATTTCGCATTTTTCCCTGCTACTTTTGCGCCATCTTTAGTTTTCAAAGGACTACGCGAGGCTGCATCAGGATGGCAACTTGGGCATATGTACCAGAACCATTGGCATGGGTTCTTATGCATAAAGTCATAATGTACTTTTGGTACCCCACTGTCGCATCTGCAATGCACCCATCGGCTGCAAAAGTTACATTCGAAAGCAGAGTCTGCTTGTTCGACAACAGAAGCGCAGACCTTGCAGTCGTCTGCCTTCTTGGGGAGCGTTTTTGTCGTCTTGCGACGTCGTGAACGTTTCTTTTTGGCCTTCCTGTTTGTTTCATGGCCTACCATGGAGATGAGTGTTATACAGTTCTCACTTAGTGCAATTTTCCCACTCGGCTCTGTTAACCTAGTTGTGTTAACAGGGATGGAGCCACATCCACTTGTTTGACTTTGCACAGCTTCACTGTAGGACTGTAGCGATATGGGCAATATGTACGAGCAGGGAGTATTTGCCCTGGTCTTCAAGACCGGTATGCGAGAGTCCATCAGCTTCACCTCTTTGCCTTGTTTGGCTGAAGCCCTGGCGACTACGGAGTGTGATGTCCCATTACTTATTTGAGGGTGAGAATCTATTGTCATTTTACTCCTAAATTAATACTGGTGATTAAAAAATAAGAGACTGTTATTTTGTCCAATAGACTTACAGCAAAAGACAATAGAGAGAACAGAAAAGAAGGATAAAGTATTTAAGTAAAAGCTTTTGACTTTACCTGTAACTTTCGGGTTATTCGGCTTCACAGCAATCACGTAACAGACCCACAAGTCCTGAATATTTGAAAGAGTGAGGACGTTGCTACAGAAGTAGCACCTGAAGCTTTGGCAGTAGTTCGAGACAGCGGGAAGTACCACACACAGGCTCGGTGAGGAAGAAATGGTTGAATAAAATTCGCCGGGTAGGAAGATCAGGTTTCCCAAACGAATAATTCACAAAAGTGGATATTTCCGGTTAGAGAGGAAACAGCACGTCGTATTCAAGGTGAACAAATGTGGAAAACAGGACACTAGTTCCATTGATTTAGTTTAATTGGTGTACACCGACAGAGTAATCAAAGTTGCATCGACGCTTACACATGCATTTAATCAAAAAGGCGATAGAACTCCAATAGCGCCATTATTTACTCCTCCACATTACCAGACCAGTAGTGACCGACTGATCATTGAACTTGTCCGTTATGTGCATTCTTATGATATGTATATAAAATAACAGCTATGACACTTATTTCTACATATTATCAGTATTCCCTTAGGTTCAGAGCGGAACACTGAGTTTCAACAACATGTCTCCACCTTGCTTCACTCTGTGCTATCCTTTTCATCTGGTCCCACGACTGACTGTAAAAACTAATCTCCTGATTACATGATCTCCTCCGTGTAGCCCTCATACTGACGACCCCTCGTCGATTCTCATTGAGATTCCACTCGAGAGATGACCTGCATTGAGCACTACGTGATTCGACGGCCTCGTCAACGTACATCCAAATCGTCAACCGGGAAGACATCAGGTCCAGGCGGAAGTCCCTCACTACGAAGCGCTGAAAATGACTCAGAGACTGCGGCAGATATTCTAACGCCAGGACCGCCAAAGGTTTGGAAGGAAGGATGCTCATTGTTTGGAACTAAGCCTACTTTGTTAAACTGCCAAAGACGGCCTCTGCAAGAACTGACTGGCCTGGAATCATGCCCTTGACCACACCAAGTATAATACTTAGCCGCATCATCCTGGAGAGAATAAAAGAAGCACTGGAGGTGGGACTCCACCGGATCGCTTGAACGAGCTGAATTCAGGAAAGGCGAATCATGTGCTGATCAGACTGCAGCTGTGCGCATTGTCATCACCACTGAACAAAGCATAGAATGTCGGTTAAACCCCTATCTTAACTTTATCGACTTTGAGAAGGCCTTCGTCAGCGTTCACCGAGAAATAATTTGGAAACTACTTCAACACTATGGCGTCATCGTCTTCATCAACGTTATTCAACAGTTACATGGGAATGTAATGAGTCTGGTGATCCACAACGAAAAACCAAGTGAAGCCTCTAAATTGAATACAGAGGTAAAACAAGGCTACCTATTATCGCCAACGATGTTCCTAATATAGGTGGACCGGATAGTGACGCACACTGTGCATGGGGAGTGAAGAGACAGGAATGTGTTGGACCGATAAGAATACTCTCGACTTCCCAGGTGATTTATGTCAAATGTCACACAAACTCGAAGACCTGCGGGCGAAAACCGACAAAATGGCTTAATAAGCAGAAAAGATAGGACTCCAGGTGATTATTAAGAAGACGAAGGTAATGAAGATAACCAACCAACAGAAAAAACAAGCATCGATCACCATCAACGGGAGAAACTTAAAAGGGGTCACTTCCTTCACTTGTCTGACTAGCGAGCGTCGTTTCAGCTGCAGGCAACAGCACGAATGAAGGTGTAATAGGCCAATTCTGAAAGGCAACACAGACTTTATCCACTGTGAAATTAGTGTGTAATTATTCTGCACTGTGCACGAGGAAGATGATTCTCATTTTCCACACTAAAAGGAGGTCAATTATTTTTTCCAAATGATTGAGAAGCGTGCACTACGCGTGGGCCACCTAAAGCATTTCCAACAAGTAACTGCAGACTTTTATCAGCAGCTGCCAGAATCTTCGACTTCATATTGAGAATTTTATGGCTGGCTGGCCAGAAAGAATTAGCAACAAAGAACTACGGGGTCAGACTAACCAAGAACCTATCACTTTACAAATATGTGGGACAAAATGTACATAAATTCGACACGCGCCACTCAGGTGACCGTCGAATTACATCGCGCTCAGTGAAGGTCAACTATGGATTGGGACCCGAATCAGAAACAAAGGATGTTCGTTGATTTGCCTGTGATATGATTGAAATCGTTTGGGGAAGAGAAGATGAGAGATTATGGGCAGTCACAGAGCCAGCTAAAGAGGATAGGAGGAAATAAGACAAAGTGTGTGTGAATTTGTATGTTCCACTCGGAACCCAAGAGAACAATACTACTATAAAATAATAAGTAACTACCAGAAATGCTGAATTAATTGAATATCTAAGTAGAAATAGCACACTGCACGAGAAAACTCATTGCTCTACAAGGTCTTGTTATTTGCTTTTGACATATCTACACCGTGGAACAAATGGAAAGCATGTTGCAGCCAGATCACCCGATTTCAGGAAGTGTCCTTCGATTTAGTCAAGGCAATTGACACCAAGAGGGCATTGTTCTTGAAGTAGTCTCAAAAAAGAATGGATGATTCATTACCCCTGTAGGTTCGAAGTTGTCAGAAGAAAAGTCATCCTGCAGTGGGGTTAACTGCATATCTCCTGTACTGGTAAAATCACTCCCTTGAGTTCCTCGAAGGACTATACTGGGATCTATCCCCTACACAATGACGTGCAGTGACTAATAACTGCATAAGACATCAGGCACAGGTTGTTAAGCATGCCGATACCTGGGCCCTTTACATCCGCACAAAATATGCCTGAGGTCTCACCACAAGATTTACAAAGATGCTGTACCACCACTTTTAGAGAAGTACTCCAGTCTTATATAGAGTATTCAGATAAATATGGTCGACTGCGTTATGAAGCCGAAACAGTATCTGTGCAAAAGCAGTTTCTTTAAACTGATTTTTTCACTCGTAGCCATAGCAGAAAAAAGCATGAGTTCATAACAGCTGATACAGTTTTAAGTGACAGAAGGTATCTGATCAAAGATGTGCTTCCGTATAGGCATTTCAGAAATTTTCGGAGGAAACTGGTGAGCAGAAAGGCGGGTGAGGCGAACTTTTTATCCGGTTGCTATAAGAATGTCATTGAAATCACTGTCGGTATTTATTACCACCTTTCCCTCAAATTAGCGTGGACTGTACACATCTACTGGAGAAGCAGAATGTGCGGAAGGACTGAGTGGTGGTCTAGTAGTTCTCCTGCTACTCATCCTTTATGTTTTGGCCCAACCACTTCCTTTTCTCTTTTTATTCCCTCTGTTTTATTAGCTTTTTCAAGTACATTTGCAGTACTCTAAGTCTTATCTAACCATCTCCATAACACAGTTGTACTGTATTATTGTGCTACCTCCCCAAACTTCTAGTTTTCTTTCATCCGATATGACGGAAGACTCTGCTCTGGAAGACGGTAAACATCCATGCGTTCAACGCATTCAGCATAGTTCTAGCAGATCAGTGAATAGATATATATTATATTGACATCCACTATGGGTCTGATACCATACCACAGTTTCAAGAAAACTAGCCTCAGGAAATCAACACGTTCATATCTGATTTCCATACATGTATTAAATGCTGTGAATTTAAACTCCAAGATCTTGAAGCTATGTTTGATACTCGGATTGTAGATTTGGAGGATTGAAACATTGAACAGTGCATTTTAAGGTGAAGCGAGAACGAGTCTTTTGAATTGGTGCGCAACTTAAGAATGCTGGAGGCGGTACTGCTAGAAGAGAGCGCGGGAGAACCTACTGACCAGGAAATAATGCTATACGCTGAAAGCATCGGTATTGATGTAGAAAAGGAGCGTGATCTGCTGTATATTGCGGAGGAAGGAGTTTCAGCGAATCTTCCGAAAGGTTGGCAAGTTCTGAAGGTATAGTTCATCAACCGGATTTTTCGAAGTAAAATGATTCACATTAAATCACTTCCAACTCTGCTGTGTGCGTCTAAGCTTGCATGCAAAGTTGTTGCATGACGTGGTTTCCAGGAATTCTGTATTCATCTAGTCAAGCCCGTAATGGGTTTTACAGATGCGATTTTAGAATAGTAATCACATGTGTATTCTATGCCGTTAATGTGGCTTTATCGTATTGTATATACTGGTGACATTGTTGTAACACTAGTTGCATTTATTCTCCAGATGACTGTTCACTTTTGCCAAAGCTTTCACATCCCTGTGGATTATATCTGCATTGACCAGCTTTATTTCCGAGCTTGAAGTTGTTAGGAATCTGCTCTGCGCTGAATTTTCATTCTTGGTTGCCTGTAGTTCCTTTATTACTAAGGTGCACAGATGGTTGCAAAATCGGTAATCTTAGATTCATCCATCTGCAACCAGAATATAAAATTTTGAATGACTGGGTTTATAATACGTTTTAACGTGTTATGCTTAATGTAGAGAGTACCAAGTGGGAATTCATGCTTCAGTTTCGATGGTTTAGAGTTGTGAAACCAAGATTGTAGTGGCTTTACTGACGGTGAACTTCATGATTTAAAAGTAGCAGTGACCGATGCATAAAGATGCTGTTAGTTAAGTTCCGCGTACAATGCGCTTGGACATTTAAAAATTACCCATCTCTCATCACGATCAGTGTTCTGTTCACCTGAACTATGTTGACTGTCTCAATTTGCGATGTAGAACTGCACAAATGTGAGGCTGTTCAAGTTGCCACACTCCACAAGATATACAAAGATGCGAAAAATTCTTAGGAATTGTAATGAATAGAAATATGTACATGATGAGTAGTTTTAATGGATCCAAGAATGATTGCATCTGCACCATGAGAACTATTTTAAATCCTGTCACCAAGTCTGTAACCATTGGCTCTTAGCATTTTGAGGTTGGTACGTGACTTTGATTTGACCACCCCTAACTATTCATATTTAACCTTTTGCGGGGATATGGCACATTGTTTCAATCAGTGGGTTCCAGTTTCCAATCCCGCCTCACCTACTTCATCCTGGGAAATTGGGTAACATAATTAGGCGCTACACAATAAATGTGGCTCAGTCCAGTACTGAGTAATTGAGACCTAACTAGTCCTACGTCGCCTAACTTCAGTCGACTAGGAAAGTGGTGAATTCGCATGCAAAACACGTGCCCTCAATCGGTAAAGCTTCACAACCTCGTGTTGGTGTCTCTGGTCGTTTCAATCGGTCTAGGTTCTTTGAGAACACCGACTTCTACTTGTCGGTCATTTTCTCAACACCAGTCTATCTGATAAGTTTAAATCTCTGTTCCATGATATTCATTGCCTGGCTCTAAGCCTCTTTGTTTAAATTTATGGTGATCCTTTAGTTTAATACACTGGTTGAAGATTAAACCTCATTGTCTCTGAGTATGGTACTGCACTTGCGGACGCTTTATTTCTTTCTGTAGTACACTTTTTTCATTCTGTACACTTTTGTAGTGTAAATGGACTGCTCCTCACTGTTCCATTTACCCAGTTGACTTGAAGAGTTATTAAATTTATGGTTTGAAAAAGTTAAGCCCTAGTGATTCATTTGACATCTGGTTATAATCACTTAGAAGCATTCTTGTTTGTTATTTTTCCCAACATAAATGTGTTTTGTACCAGTGTTGGTTCGAAGTTGAGAGACTTCGCTTTAATTCTTATGCTGTGTGTGACAGCTGAAAAACTAGACCACTATCAATTGTAGTGTATGTCAGTTCTAAAATTGTTAAACGTCGGAAAGGGAAAGCTGCACCTCACATGTTTGGGTACTCGGCTTTCAACTTGTGAACTAAAACCTCCATCTAAAAGGATTAAGGCAGTCAGTTTGTGTCATTATCCCCTAAAAAATTAGTATAGTTTGTTATCAAGTGTATGTAAGCGCTGATCTACTATAGTTGAATGTGTAATCCATAAATTGTCTTTGTTTATTTTGTTTCGTAGGACGAAAATAACCAAATATTTTATTATGATAGTAAATCAGGCATAAGTATGTGGGAACATCCATTGGATGAATACTTTCGAAACTGTGTCATAAAAGCACGTCAGAAAATCCAACGTAGAGCTAATACAGTTAAGAATTCTAAACATGATGAATCGTCAGAAAGTTGCATGTCTCCCATCAGTAATGTTCTGCCTCACTCCAAACAGGATATGGCCAATAAACAAACACCTAAAGGTTCCACGACAAATAAGGATCCAAATAAAGGTGAGTCTTATAAATATTGATTGAATTTCACTATTCATTTTATGTTTAGTGACAAGTGTGTTGTATGAATCATTGATTTTTGGAGGTGTGTGTAATCCAGGATTCATAAAGTGCACATAAGGTCTCTATTTTTTTTTAAAATTAGGTAGCTGTGGTTTTTTTTATAACACCGCCGAATGGATGTTGAGCTTAACGGGCAAAGTTCAACAATAGCGTCCCAAGAAATGCGAACGCACGAGTAACCTTGAGCCGACCAGTCTTAAAATTGAAGAATTTTTGTACAAAAATAACGTATATTTACAGGAAAATGCATGAAAACACATTAAACAGGGTATCTTTCGCTGACATGACTTAAAAGTACATCCCAGTTATAATGAGGAGTATCTGTTGCTAAGTTAAATTAGTTTCTGTACATGTATTCACCGAGGTGACTGAAGATGAGCTGCTTTTGTGAATCGTTCAGTCTTTCCCAAAGCCATCGGTTGAATCACTGTGGTTTCCAGTCAGAGGATCGCCGACTAGTTACTAGCACAATATGGATAATAAAACAAATTAAAATAAATGACATCAACTCTAAATCTATCCCTGAAAGTAACCCTAACCTTAATGCTAATAATGACCCTAATCCTAACCCTAACGAGATATTAACACATTGTGCGAATAGTACTTGAAAACATGATCTGGGCGAAATTTTGATGAATAGCGTTGCTATTTCAGCTATGATAATGACAGGTGCTGTTAGTCATCCACTAGCATGCGTGCAAGGTCATTGGCGCGTTTACACTCTTGGGAGTCTATTGTTGAACTTTGCCGCTTAGCGGAGTGGCATATAAACTTTTCGCTTTGTCATATAGATGATTATGATTACATTTTTGGTATTAAATGGCTTCTGAGGAAACTGTGGTAATAACAAACCTCAAATTTCGTAAATTTAAATAGCTTATTAGGGGTTTATTTTGATGAAAATATAATGTTAGTAATAGCTTTATTCCAAACAATCCTTCTTGTATACACGTTAATACGTTAATATACACGTATACACTTATTGACTATGCCATATCACAGGCTGTGTGTCTGTCTGTTTTCGACATAGAACTTTGCACCAATGTGCTGCAGTTCAAGTCACCATACTCCATATAATACACAAAGCAAGAAAGGGAAGTAGAAGAAATGCATGATGGAGACAGTAAACAGAGGTGTGAGACAAAGGAATAGTAGTAACGAAGAACAATATAGTTTAATTGGAAATCGTAAGTCACAAGGAGTGGATGCATCTGCACTGTCATTGAGAACGATTTTGAGCCATATCACCAATTGTTTCCAGCTATTGGTGTTTACCGTCCTGAGGACCCCAACCAGTCAGGAAGTCTACACCTCCCTAAGTGACTGACTGGCTTAAAACAACTGTTGTGGATTTATTTCATTGGCTGATGAAGCCATGTTTTGGTTTGACCACCACTAGCTCTTTTCCAACCTGACCCTACATCAGCTAACATTGTCCGTCGAGGAAGGCAATGACTAGGCACACGTAACTCATGTTCTGACCATCTCAGTCGATGTAATTTTACAGCCTCGTCGATTGATTTCCCCTCCTCACCTAGCACTTGATGCCTAACCTCAATATTGCTCACCTTATTATACCACTTCACACGGGAAATAGAGCGCAGGCACCTATGACTAAAGACAGCTAATCTTTTCATGTTCTTCACTCTCAATGGCCAGGTTTCGCTCACAGCCATAAAGGAGGACGGAGCGGACTGATGAGCAGTACACACGCCCTTTGGTCGATAGTCGGATATCACGTTTACGCCAGGTTAATGCAGAAAATGAAAAAAGTTCTCTATAATCTATTTCTATTGAAGTGGCGAACAATAGATAGAATTCTCGAATTGATTGCTGTACTGTGCTGTAGATATCAGCATTCACGTGTTTGTTGTTATTGTTATTGTTCCCTTTGATTCCGAGTGATACTTAGGGCTTCCACAAGACATCTCCACTTTAACCTATTTCGTGCTATCCTCTTCACCTGGGCTCAAAATTGTCCATAATCTCGGATCTCCTGCATGCACCTTTAGACCAATGCTCAACTCCTCGTTTCCCATTCGGGTTCCACTTGAGTGATGTGACCTGCATTGAGAGCAATGTTATTCGTCTGTCTCCTCAGTGATGTGAGCCCAATCCATCTCTATTTTCTTCCACATATATTTGATGAGAAATAAGTGCTTGGTTATTTTGTTCCTCTAGTTCCTGGTTGATTATTCTTTCTGACAAGCCAGCCACTTAATTTTCAATATAGGGAGTCATCGAGTGTGGCAGCTGCTGATAGTAGTCTGCAGTAGTCTGTTGGAAATGCTGGCTGAGTGCAGAAGATTGATGGTGTGTATCTTGTTTTTTCAATTCTGGTTGGCTTCGACGTCTTCATTCATGCTGTCGCCTGCAGTTGAAATGACGCTTCCTAGCCCCAGCTAAGAGAAGTAAGTGACCTTTTTGTAAATGTATTCCGTTGAAAGTGATTGATGCTTGTTGCTGTTGATTGGTTGGTTGGTTGGTTATCTTCATCACCTCTGTCTTCTCTACGTTCACCTGAAGTCTTGTTTTTGGTGTTTTTCTAGCCAGCTTTTGGCTTTTGGTCTGTGGGTCTTCGAGTTTTTGTGACACGAGACATAAATCATCCACGCGCAAAATCCAGATGTTCTAGAGTCTTGTGATTGGTCCAGCGAATTCATGTCTCCTCGCTGCCATACACAATCTGACGCATAACCCAATTCACCACAGTTAGGAATATCACATGTGTTTGTTTAGGCAGTTAAAAACTCGTGTATTGGTTCTCCTTTCTATTTTGAAAAGTACAAATCTCAAGAATGGAATCTCGTTTGGCCAACTCCAATGCTTCTGCAAAGCATTCAGCCTTGAGTTGGTATGAATATATATATATTTTCGTGTGTACTGCCCAACAGTCCTCTCTGTCCTCCTTTGTGGCTGTGAGATCTGGCCATTAGAGTGAAAGACATAGAAAGACTGGCTAGCTGTCTTTGATCATATGTGCCTGGGTCCTATCCCGCGTGAAATGGTATAGTAGGGTGAGCAATATTCAGATTAGGCGTCGAGTGCTAGGTAAGTTGGAGGGGAAATCAATCGACGAGGCTGTGAAGTTACATCGGCTCAAATGGCTAGTTCGTATGTTACGCATGTCTAGCCATCGCCTACCTTGACAACGGGCAATGTTAGCCGCTGATATAGGGTCAGGTTGGAAAAGAGCCAGTGGTGGTCAAACCAAAACATGGCCTCATCAGTCAATGAAATCCATAACAGTTAGCCAGCCACATAGGAAGGTGTAGACTTCCTGGTTGGGGTCCTCGAGACGGTAAGCACCATTGACTAGAGACAATTGGTGTTATGACTCAAAATCTTCGTTGCCAATGACAGCAAAGATGCATCTATTCCTTGTGACTCATAATACCCAATAAAACTATATGATTCTTCCATATTATTATTCTTTTTGCCTCATATCTATATTTACCGTCTTTATTTTGCGTTTCTTTTTTATTTTCTTTTTCTTCTCTGGCTTTGTGTGCTGAGTGGAGTGTGGCGACTCGAACTGGTGCATATCGGTACAAAGTTCTATGTTGTAACCAGACAGAGAATATGTGTAAATGTTCATAATTTCTGTAGTTTGCTGCGTTTGTGGTGTGTTTTTAGCTGGGAATACTCAAACTCCGCCTAAATGAGAAATAAGTGTTCACACTTATGAACCACTAGTTGATAATCGAGTACTCAAAATCATTGGCTCCTTTATTCTTAGAGATGGTGCAGCAAGTCTTGTGTGAAGACGAGTACTCGCCAACGATGACATTGGCTAGTGCCAGTCGCGCTATGTCGTTAATTGGCAGAAGTTGGAATTCATAGACTAGTCAGTAGCTTAATGGTCTACGAGCTCGCTAGCCTTGTAACCAGAAGGCCCTGGGTTCGAACCCTGGCAGTGGGTGCGTACTGCTGACGAATCCCAAACTAGGCTGGCGAAACAGCTGTTCAGTACTCCCTACTGGTTTTCCAATAGTTCTGTAACTGATGTCAGTACTCATGATGAAATCCTGTAACCGATCAATCAAATCCCTACAAACCAATACTTGAATTATAATAATATTTATATTGGGTTATTATTACTATTATTATCCCATTGATTTTCTTTTGATGTAGACTCACGTTCGCATTCTCGTGGTGATTGTAAACAATCTGAAACGAACAATGATATAAATCAAGAGGATAAGAATAAATTATCTATGATTAATACGCCTGGGCGCCAAGATCCCGTGACTAGAAGAAAAGACGAAGTATTAAGTGCCGATGATCCTACTGAATACCGTGACTTCAAGTTACCCGGTAGTAAAAGACGTGATAAATCGCTCACACTGTCCACTCCCAATAATAATAACAATAATAATAAACCTCAGTTTTACTCACCAGCCAATCGTCGTTCATCTAACAAAAGTTTTAAAATTTGGTCAGACCTATACGCTGAGAATTTACGTAAAGCTGACAACAATCTAACAGCACTTCAAGATAAAGTAAGAAAATCCCTGCTGACTGATGATAAACCTATCACCTCTGAAGTAATCAATGACAGTGCACCGACAAAATGCAATTGCAATAGTCGTCAGTTACAAGATTCACCGGTGAAAATAGGCAAAAGTTTCTCATCTTTGGATCTTTTGAATACAGACAAGAAAGGGGATCGTACATTTTATGAAAAAAGATATGGAGTACTTTCTAGTGATAGTAAAAAAATCAAAGATTACTGTGATGATGATGATGAAGATATCCTGTGTCCTGAAGTTGGTCTATCTCCTACTGAAATAAAAGGTCATTCAACTAGTGGAGGTCAAACAAATGTAGAGTCACCAGTGGTGAATTGCAAGACGAATTCTTCTATCCCAAATGCATCGAATGTTATGCCTCATACTGAAGTAAATGTAAAGGATGCTACAAAGTCAAATTTGGAAAGGCAGTCACCCAATCAGAATATTTCAAAGGCTAATAATAATATTAATAATGATAAAGGTTTTGTCAATCTTTCAGAGTGTATAAGTCATCTGATTGAAGAACGTTCTCGTATCCAGGGGAAACTGTTTCGTTTGAAGGTATGTCATGAATAAATAAGAAATTAATTGTTTTCCGTTTTTATATCACAGTAATTCACTTCATAAGTTATTCTCGCTGCTTGTACATACTTTCAGTCAAGTTTAAGATGATCCCTGCTCGTGTATTTTCTGTAATTGACTTCCTTAGGAGACTAACCATGATTGACGTTGGTTTTTATATATATATTTTTGTTTTTACGAGTTGATCACGGATTGATATCAGTTAGAAAACCATTGAAAACCAGCCGGGGAGTACTGGACAGCTGATTCATCCTAGTTTGTGAATCATCGCCAGTACGCACCCACTGGGGTTCAAAGCCAGAACCTTCCGGTTACAGGGCAAGCTGATACACCATTCATCCACTGGGAACCAACCCGATTCAACGGCCAGTCCACGAATTCTAACTTCTACCAATTCGTGATTTTACGTTACCCCAACCAATGTCGTCGGTGGGATATGCATCCTCACACGTAACGTCTAGATGAACCTCACTGGTCACGACTTCTCACTAGAACTCCAGGAAACTCTCTCCTGTATCAAGTCACTAGCGAGCATCAGATTAATTTTCTATAATTGGTTTATAAGGATTAGTTTTTTTACTAGTTGATCGCGGATTAATATCAGTTAGAGAACCATTGGTGTCGGTGGCATATCGGTTAGGACCGCTCGCCAACCATGCACATGGTCCGGGGTTCGATCCCCAGCCAACTCACTCCTTTACCTCGCTAAGCCAAAAATAATGCTGGTAAAGAGGAAAGGTTGGGCATGAGGCTAGCAACTCCATCCTGTAAAATAAACACTACTACAGAAACTTCAAGCCTCCAGCTGGAAGCCCTATGTTCCACTGAAGAACGTGAAGGAAAAAAACGAGAACTATTGAAAACCAGGGAGTGCTGGAGCTGCAAAATAAATGGGTTTTTGTTGGCATAGTTTAAGTATCATAGCCAAAGTCCAAGGTCTTTCAAAGGTCTTGACCTTCAAAAACTAATCAGATTAAGGGGATGCTATGAAAGATCATTGCAAATTAAATCATGTCTGCCTTTTGGGACTTGTAGGAGAGGTAGACACAGTATTCTGCTGACTCCCTAGATACTTTTTCTGTAAATCTATAGTGGCTTTTAAGACTAAGATCTTGGGTTAAGATCAGGACTATGGTTAAAGTTAGAATTACGGTCAGAGTTATGGGTAGGTTAAGGAACAGTTTTGGAAATATCAGTGGATCTCAAAGTACCATTGACCTGCAGTCACGTTGATGAATACATTGATCGCGCGTGGTATGTTTTCTGTGTGACTGACTGACCGACTGGTTTCAACATAAAACTTTGCACCAGTTCGAGTCGCCACACTCCACTCAGCACACAAAGCCAGAGAAGAAGAAGAAGACAGTAAAAAGAAACACAAAATAGGGATGGTAAATAGAGATATGAAGCAAAAGGAATAGTATTATGGAAGAAAGGTATAGTTTTATCGGGTATTATAAGTCACAAGGAGTGGATGCATCTTCGCTGTCACTGACAACGAGGATTTTGAGCCATTTCACAAATTGTCTCCAGCCACTGACATTGGTTCTTACCATCTCGAGGACCCCAATCCAGGAAGTTTACACCTTGCTACGTGGCTGGCTGGCTGGCTTAAACTAACTGTTGTGGATTTATTTCATTGACTGATATAGCCATGCTTGGGTTTGATGAGCACTGGCTCTTTTACAACCTGACACCATGTCAGCTGACATTGTCCGTTGTCAAGAAAGATGATAGCTAGGCATGTGTAACACAATGTCCTAACCATCTCTCTCAATCGATGTAACTTCACAGCTTCGTCTATTGATTTCCCCTTGTTACCTGTGTAGTGACTGGAAGACACTCTTACAACATATAAGCGACAACTACATAGTATACTATCATGTTTGCAATGTTAATGCATTTTTAAACAATTATGCGACTTTTTTTGCATCTGACTTCTGATTGGTTGCTCAGCGTCGCTGTGTTTTTGGCTATGAAACTTTAACTTTGTCATTCAGACTTATGACAAAATGGAATTACAAAGATGTTAGGTGATTAGGACCTGTGCATGTCGAGTCATCTCCATCCCCAAAAATCAATATTGGCCAAAATTGAAACATTTTCAAGACTGTGTCCGATTGCTGAAAACACTAATGCTCCCTTCCCAAATTCATCAACTAAAGTAGGGTTATTTAATCCAGTAACACTCCTATAACTCTCCTGTTTTACTAGCATATGTAGCAAGCCTGAGAAAGATGGATGTTAGACTAGCCACCCCCACACCATAAAAACAATGCCACCACTTAAACTTCAAACCAAAAAGCCTCTTGAAGTAAACTGGTGGGTGTTGACTAATAGTGGAATCCCGAATGCTCATTTCATCCTATTCAGGATGTGTAATCTCGGTGTACCGGCATTCCTCAGTGAGTCAATGTTAGTGTTCCCACTGAGGCTCAAACCCACTACCCACAGTTTCAAGCGCCAAAGCGGGTTATCCACTAGACCAATTGGGCCACGTCAGTCACATCTTGTTCCGTGCAACGGGTATTAGTAATTATTTAATTCATTCTGGACGCTCCCGTTTGTTGGTTGAACCCAAGTGATCGGCTTCAGGTTGACAAATGAATTAAATAGTAACCTATACCCGTTGTACAAGAAAATGGTAGCTGTCGTGGCCCAAGTGGCCTAGTGGATAGTGATCTGGAGTTTGGAACTATGGGTACTGGGTTTGAGTTTCAATGCGAACATCATCATTGACTCACTGAGGGATGCAAGTACATCCAGATGACGAGCTATTTCCAGATAAGGAGGGTGGATTCCACTGCTGGTCGCCATCCACCAAATTTAAAGTAGAATTAGTATGGAAAATAATCTCTGATGCTTGTGTCTGTCAGTATCAGTCGTGTAGAGTAGGTGTGAACTGTCTGACTGAATCTATTCATTAGCTGGAAACTTTTAGTAGTGACATGACTCAAAATTGTTTGAAATGATGCAGGGGTGTATTCACTTCTTTGCCGTCTTTGAAAATAAGCATTTTACTGATTTCATTCATCCCATGCTCCATCCCACTTATTTTGTTTTCATTGAAAGTGTGAAGGCTCGAACTAACACACACACACACACACACACATTTTCATTCAGTGTTTTTTTCGTTCACATTTAAGCGGACAATATTGCGGTTTCAATTGTCTGTCTGTTTTCGACATAGAACTTTGCACAAATGTGCGGAAGTTCAAGTCGCCACATTCCGTGTAGCACGCGAAGCAAGAGAAGAAAGTACAAGAAAAGCATAATAGAAACAGTGAGCAGAGGTGTGAGACAAAGGAGTAATAAAGAAATACAAAACAGTTTCATTGAAGATCATAAGTCACAGGGAGTGGATGCATCTGCGCCACTGAGAACGATTTTGAGCCATGTCACCAATTGTTTCCAACCATAGATTTTTACCGTCCCGAGGACCCCAGCCTGGAAGTCTACACCTTCCTACGTGGCTTAGACCAACTGTTGTGGATTTCATTGACTGATGCCAAGTTTTTGTTTGACCGCCGCTAGCTTTTTTCCAGCCTGACCCTATATCCGCTAACATTGCTCGTCGAGGGAGGCGATGGCTTGGCATACGTAACACATGTCCTAACCATCTCAGTCTTTGTAGCTTCACGACTTCGTCGATTGATTTCCCCTGTTTACCTAGAACTCTACGCCTAACCTCCATGTTGCTCACCTTATTATGCCACTTTACACGGGAAATAGAACGCAGGCACCTATGATCAAAGACAGCTAGTCTTTTCATGTCTTCCACTCTCAGTGGCCAGGTCTCACAACCATAAAGGAGGACGGAGCGGACTGATGAGCAGTACACCCGCCCTTTGGTCGATAGTCGAACATCTCGTCTACGCCAGAGTCGGCGTAAACTAACAAATGCGAAACGAGCCCCTTGTATTCGTGCTGAGATTTCGTCAGAGATCAGCCCGTTGGGGCTGATGGTACTTCCCAAATAAGTGAAGCGGTCAACGTGCTCTACCACTTCACTTCCTATTTTTAAACTAGGCGTCGATGTAGTCCAGTCCTGTAACATCATCTTGCATTTGGCGGGAGCGAATCGCATGCCAAACATTCGTAGATTGCGGCTCAAGGTGTTTAGAAGACTCTGCATTTCGTCAGCGTCTTCGCCTAGAAGGACTATATCGTCTGCATATTCCAAGTCAACGAGATTATTCCCCGGTAGCAAGTCAATCCCTGAGTCGCTGAAGTCACCTAGGGTTAAGTCCATTAACACATCTATGATGAAGTTGAATAGAAAAGGAGATAATGGGCATCCTTGACGGACACCACTGGTCGTCATCAGTTCAGATGACAGCTCGCCGTAAGCCCTCACCTGGCTGTATGAGTACGAATAGAGTGCCTTAATCAGTGCAATATATTTTCTCGGAATTCCCTTTACAGCCAAGCATCTCCAGAGAACTTCCCGATCGACAGAGTCGAATGCTGCCTTTAGGTCAAGAAATATAATGACTGTTGGACGCCGGTAGGAATGCCTATGTTCTAGAATCTGTCGGAGGGTGAAGATATGATCAATACACCCTCTTCCTGGTCTAAAGCCTGCCTGGCTCTCTCGTGTTTGTGCTTCCCGAGCACCACTCAGTCTACGCATGATTATTGAGCCTAAGACTTTAGATACTATATTAGTCAAGCTAATCCCTCTGTGATTATCACAGGAAGACTTGTCTCCCTTCTTGTATATGGGGATAATCAGTGACTTACACCAACCCGATGGGACTTCTTCTGATTCCCAGACGCTGCCTAGTACCTCAGTTAATCCGGACAGTAAGCTGTCTCCACCGTACTTAAATACCTCTGGAGTCATTCCATCAGGTCCCGCTGCTTTGCCTAGTTTCAGATTGGTGACAGCTTTAGTAACCTCAGTTAGTGACGGAGGACCTGTGTCTATATCCCATTCAGGGAGGTGTTGGATGCTCGGAAGGTTGAGCGTGGCTGTG